ACATAAATCCTATATAATTTCTATAATTTTTCGAGACTCGAGATTTTCAAGAATCTCGAGTCTAAACTCGTCTTGTCTTTAAACTCTCCGCGCAAAAAATATAATACATCAATACCGTCGTCAGCACATGTCGAGCGAATGTTTATTGCAGGTAGCTTACTATTTGATGATTTACGAGGAAAATTGACCGACCGTCATTTTGAGACAACGCTTTTATTGAAATTTAATAATTATTTCTAATTTAATAAGAACTAATAACCAGAAAAGTCTATTATTATTAATTTTCACACGTGATTCTGCAATGTATGTGATTCTAAGGAATTATAAGTTTTGTTATTATTTAATATTTTGTCATTATTGATACGAATTCTTATTGATAATTTATCTTTAACTTAAAATGTAATTTTTAAAAATGTAATCACTAATTTTATATCTTCTCTATGGTAGCTGTTTTTTTTTACAGTTATATAACTTATATAGTTATATAATTATATGTATCATATATGAAAAAAAATAAAAAATTTAATTTACTTAATAATCTATATTGTAGTTATTTAATCTCATTTTAAGAAAAATTAGGACATTTTGACCTCAAAAATAATTTTTTTCGAAATTAACTTTTTTTTACTTAAGTTAATTCAATATTAACTTAACTTTCGTTAAGTTCATTTTTTATTCCTTCAACTTTTAACTTAGATTTATTAATTTTGTAAAGCCATTAACTTTAACTTTATTTAGTTAAAAAAGACATTAACTTACCCAACCCTGCTTATATTTCACAATATTTCAACAAGAAAGCATAAGACATAATGGTATAAATATTATAGTTACTAAAGTTTAATAAATATTCCTTGTGTGTATTATATTAATTGTTATATGTTAAAAATAAAAGATTAAAAATTTATATAAAATTATGCAAAAAATACAATATAATGTTTGTTAAATTGTATATTATTTAAGAGTTTTAGTACATGTCATGTAATTTAATATAAGTTAATATTGATATTCTTGTAACAAAACAGTTTAATATGACTTTTTATTTTTGCTGTTATCAAAATAAATCGTTCATGCTTTGTAATATAAGGTATAAATATTCAATAGTATGTTAATTATATTGTAATTAAAAATTTTCTATTTTTTCCCAATATTTTTGACAAAGTCACAAACTCGGATGACATGTGCATCTTTTTCTCAATTTTAGAATATTATAATTCATTATACATTTTTTACAATTCTTTTAATTATTCCTCTGAATTTATATATATTCATATGTCTATTGTTCCTGATATTACATTTATGACATCATATTCAGGAGGTACATACATATTAGGTGGTAAACGTAATTCCTGCCGCTCGTGTTAGGGGATGTCGAATCTAACGCTGGTGAGTTTCGATGGTGAACTCGGACGTCTTTTGTAGCTCAGAATATTATCTGAAAGTGATTCAATCCTCACAGGTTAGATTTCTCGACACCAAAGAGATTTTCCAATCGATTGAAAATAAATCGCGATAAGTTGTTTTTCTGATATGTGCTTCTTCACTATTTCGACCTCAAGAAAACCGCAGTTGAAGCGCATCGCTTATTATGGAAGTGTATGGTGATGAAACTTTATCGGAAAGAACATGTAGAGTTTGGTTTGAACGCTTTCGAAACGGTGATTTTGACGTGAGAGACAAAGAACGTCCTTTGCTCTGCATTTGATGAGATCAGGAAGGTGTGCATTAGAGTTATGAGCTCTTGCGTCCAAATGAAATCGTTACAGCTGATCGCTATCAACATTAATTATGCTGATTAAATGAGTTGATGAAAAAAAGACCATCCGTAGTTAACAATCGATGCAAAGTCATTTTTCATGATAAAGCTCGACCGTATGTTGCGAAAAGCGTGAAGCAGACACTTCTAGAGCTTGAATGGGAAGTCCTCCCACATCCAGCGAACTCTCCAAACTTGGCACCGTCGGATTTACCATCTCTTCTGGTCGATGCAACACGCACCCATTTCTCCAGTTACGAAGAAGTCCAAAAATGGGTGGATGAATGGATCACCTCAAAAGATACCGCGTTCTATCGTTGTGGGATTGCCGGAAATGGGAAAAAGAAAATGGAGGAAATTACTTTGATTAAGGTATTCATTCATCTTTCCCTCGAAACAAATCAATTTTGGAGACAAAAAAATGGAATTGAGTTTACCACCTAATACTTCGTATATTTTAATGAGGATGGAAGTTCTTGTAGTTTTAGTACATAGTGTCATAGCGCCGGACGGCAACATCATGTTCTCTTCATATAGCGCAGAAAAATTAGACTTTTTGGAGGCAAAATTGCCATAAAAGATTTGTTTGCGGGAAGTTGTTTGAAATGACTACTCAACAAAAAATAGGGAACACTTTCGAACACGCTCAAAAATGCACAATATTCAAAACACCGTAACTCAGTGAAAAATCATCGCAGATAAAAAATGAAAAAAGTAATTGAAAGCTTGAAATCTCTACTTTCGAAATCGGTAATTGATCAAAGAATTGGAAAGAATACAGGCGTTAGGAGTCAGGCGCAGAAGACGTCGCGTAAATAATACACCTATGAAGCTTGAAACTTCTTTATTCAATAAACACGCTTACATGTTGCGGCTCATTTTTTAAGGCCGCGATACAGACTTTTGCATAAAGCATAATGCATAGTGCGAATCAACTAATCAGCGAATCTTTCCTTTCCTCCCATTCCATAGAAAAGAAGAATTTCGATTGGTTGATTCTCTTATGCACTATGCGTTATGCGTTATGCAAAAGCTTGTGTCTGGGCTCTTAGCCTTCCTCAGAACGAACACAGACTA